AATAGTGGCTCCAAGTGTCGGTCCACAGGGTATAAAACGTGAAGAATTGCCCTTACATATTTCAGTAACGTTTCGTCTACCTAGAATAGTGGCACGTTTGTCTATATTCTTTTATTGCTAATGGAATTGCGAATTCACCACTCATATTTCAGCTAGACAGAAGCAGTTAAGAACTCCTGAATATTTTCATTTGTTAAAAATGATATTGTAGATAACTATTACTTATAACGTTTAATTTAGTATTAAAAACAACAGTAAATGATGCTCAAATATTTTTTTTTATTTTCCCTTAAACGTTTCGCAAAATGCCAATGCAGAAAGTAAAAAGCAGTTAACGACAAACTCCGAAAATGTCACACGCAAAACTCATTAAACAGAATCAAATTATGCAAAACAAAGATCCAGCGAGCAACATGTTCGGCGTTCCAATTTCAAAGCCAACGACATGCACTCACACACACAAACTCACACACCCGAAATACAAAATCAGTATTCAAATCGCCCCACGTACCGGCAATTATAGCAACTGTATACAGAAACTAGAGACGAGGGATGTACTTTTAAATCGCTTTGTTGCAAAACCGTTTATTTGCATTAACGATCCTTTGAAAAGTCGATTTGACTTAAATCGATGTTCTTTAAATATTGCAAATGCCAACTATATTTTTATTATATCGCACTTGTTTGATATTGCTTTATATTAAATTGAGACATTTAAATGTAACAATTAATTGATCACAAATGGAATCGATATTAATCAATATCGATTCGTGACCAACATCCTTAGCCAAACTCGTATTCCCATAGACATGTTCAACCTTATTAAAATCGGGACTCTCTAATAGCTTCTTGGGTCTGCTCACGTACGGGATTCCTTGTAAATTGGCATCGTTTGAGATCTTAATTAAGCCTCTTCAGTTTTTAGACTGGCATCGGTGGCTCGCCACGTTCAGACCTGTCGTCCTGTAGACTACTGGCTTTACTATCTTAATGAGTCCCCAGTTAAATTTAATGATACCTTTTGCTTGGGACTCTTATAACGAAGGTAAGTTATGTGTTTGCGAAGCGTGCAATTGGTTTGCCATCATTAATTAAAACTTTTATCAAAATTTGACAATATTGCATTTTTATTTGAAAAGTGTTCGAACGACAGATATTTTTGATTTGTGAAAATATTATTAAATTGATATGTTTTTTTTATAAATCATGATCCACTTGCCCTTATCCCTTACGGAGGGTCGGCACAGTATGTGCTGCTCTTCCATACATCTCTATCAGCCGTCATATCTGAATCCACACCTTTCTTAAGCATATCCTCTTGTGTGAACACAATCCATCCATACTTTCTTCGGTCTTCCTCTTCCTTTGTAGCCATTTTTTTTTTATAAACTCCACATCAAAATATGTCTGTGAGGAAGTTGGACTATACAGTGATTGTATTTCAAAAAAATGTAATGAATAAACCAGTAGAATTTATGTCGTATCATCTGGTTTGAAACTGTGGCGCCGGCCTACGGAAAATGTAAATTGAAAATACTTTACATACTTCTGTTTCTAGCAAAGAATCGGAACTTCAAATCAAAATGGTAACAATCTGGTTGTACATACTGATCAAAATATTCAAGCTGCCGAACAAATAAAATAAATAGTAGTACAATTTGATAGGCCTTTAAAAGACAAAACTCAAAAATACTATATTCAAGATTCAGTATTCCTTCCATAACTTACAAGAATCGAGCATCCAAATAATATATTGTGATCGTAATTGTCCCAAATTTAGACGCAATGTCCCGCCGCCCAACTGAAAGTATACCAATGTATTTGGCGAGAGCTCATCTCGCCTCTCAGACAAAACGTTGATCTCAATATGCGAGCATCCGGTACAGTTGCCAACTCTTGTCATCCTCCCCCTTCCCGCAAGGGGACAAGTTAGGCAAGAGGCGTGCCATTGGTAACGAATACGAAGTCTTGGCTCGCCTCTTGGCAAACGTTTGGCAACTCAAAGCGTAGTAACGTATCCGTTTTTATTTTGTTAGCTGGAGCGTAGTAAGTTGGGATCAACCTATATTCGCTAGATGAATGAGTATGAAATTAGGTTATGAGATTGTTTTGCTTCTTTCGACGCGTAGAAAGTCGTTTATGGAGGCAATTGGTCGTATTCTTATGGCAGTTTTTATTGTTTTGGCTACGCTCTGTCTGGAGAATTTTGTCGTTTACTTTTGGTTAATTAATTTTCTAAGATTGTTTTAATAGCTGTTTAAAATTATTGCTTTCATTACTTAGTGGTATTCTTCGTAGTTCTATGACTACGGGTGCGGCGTAAGGAACACGTTCAATACTTATGTTTAATATCTTAACCTGACAGTCAACATTAACATATTAGTTTAACGTAAAGTTATGTACAAAGCTACCCGATCTCTGTGTCCACTGAATCACGATCCACACAAGAAGCCGTCGAACGTTTTAGCTTTAAGAGGATGAAACATGTTTAGTTGTTTGTTTTGGTGTTAGCCGCGGCAAAGGTCTAATGGCTCGGGCGGTCGACGGTAGCCAACTTGGACCTTTCCTTTATCTTTTATGCTAACTATGAGCAATAACGCGCGGGTGAAAGCTTAAAGAGCCCGCTTTGAGTTACGTAGCATTTGTTTTTGTTCGTGTATCGACCACCGAGGGGACTGCATATTTTTACGATGACGATTTCGATAACAATGTTGTAAGAGAATTGTAAGAAGTAATACGTATTCTATCCCTTTGGATTTCAAAGCTATATTAATATTCAGTATTTTTGTTTTATTAAAATAAGATTCTACAGTTAAATTCTTTTCTCGTCACTTTTTTCGTAACACTTTCGTAAATGTTTTAATTTCTGTTAATGTTAACAATAACTCAATAATATTACTGCAAATGAAATCCGATTCAAAAATCATTTAAAATACCAATGCAATGTTTAGTCGAACAACTTAAATAGTCCCACGTGATTACTAAACATTCACTTTTTAATATTACTTATTATGACTACCCACGACCGTGTTTACATTCGTGCAACGTCTAACACTATATCAAAACGTCACGGAATGAGGTCGAGTACTAACTTTGACTCATCGATTACATTCCATGTCGATTTAAAAAAAAACATTGATTAGTAATCGATTAACACAATTCAAACTTTAAGTATTAATCGAAAATATAAAAAATTAATTCGAAATTTGAAATTGAAAACAAATGCAGGACGAAAGTATAAGAAACGTCACTAGAGGTTGATACTGTTATCCTATTTTATGACAATTTACTTGACTCGATACATAAAAATTAATGTAAAATCGATTTAAATTAATGAATAAAAATATTGAAATATACAAGGTAACCCAAGCCTTGTGTAAGCATTGATTAAGATTTCAAACAACAAGTGTGACCGTTATCGATGAGGCTCGCAATAATTCACGTGAGAAAAGCAACAGAATGGGTTCGTTAAGAGGCTGGAGGGCCTCTCGGCGTTATTGTGCTGATGTCAGGTCCACCATGACAGCATTCAAGTGGCCACCGAAGCGCCAAAATGTTAATGAGACATCTTAAGAACATCGATGGCCATTGATCCACTGTTTGACACGCAAGATGCATAAATTAAAGAACCCACAATGTTGTATTTAGTTTACGCTTTACTAAACATACTTTAAGAAAAATAAATGACGATATAAGGCCATTAAGAAGTATATTTATCTAAACTTCTTATGGGTAAGATGATAATATATCTTTATTAGACAAGTGTCTACAATAATTATTTTTTCACTTTAAACTTTGAATCGAAATCAAAGATTTCTAGCATCTCTAGACGACTTAAATTTAATGCCTTTTATCTTTCTGATACATGAACTAAGGCTTAATTTATGCCCAACTATTTTGAAATCCTTAAACGTATTGTTTCATCCTTACCCTACTTCACCTGTCAACTAATGTAATTACCAGCATTTCATACTTGTTGAGATCTTTTACAAGAAAGTACTGGCATTAAACTTGGAGATGCTGTCAGACGCCTGTTGACCCCGCGACCTCGCAATCTCACGCACGTACAAACGTCTTACGGCTTTATAATCGCGAACACTATGTGGTTTCTTTAGTTAACATATCTTATTATAAATGCGAAAGTTTAGATGGATGGATGTTTGTTAGAGGTTGTAGCCTAAACTGCTGAACCGATCATGATGAAATTTGACATAGATGTAGAGCGTAATCTGGAAGAATACAAGTATACTTGCTTTTGTTTTTTAATCCCACACGGACGGAATCCCGGGCTAAAGCTAGTTTTTCTATAAATATAAGGGACTCCGCAGCAAATGAAAGATCAATTTAAAAGAACAGTGCACAGTTCTTTTAGAGTGTTATAAGGACAGAAAGTTGATTATGTAATAGGAAAGAAATGTTAATTAAGAATGGCCTGCATCAAAATGACCATACTGTTTATCGAATCTTTGACAATAAAGAAAAAAACGTAACAATGATATCATCAGCAACGAAATAACAAGCATTTAATACTTGTTTGTAAAACTATGATCCGTTCTAAAAACCAGTCTTATACGCAATCATGATAGAAAGAAAACGTGACGTTCGCCCGTTGCTCAAAAACCATTCGTCCAATTCGAATTGATAAAAAATAAATTAAAATGGGCATTAGAGGAGGCGCAGATGATATCGACACCGGTGCATTGTGCCGCGGACGTGGTAGCCTCTAATTGCGGTCCCTTTGTTATTCAAAATGAGGTGTTAGCTCTTCTATTAAATAATAAGTAGTTTAATTCTCCAACAAGATCGATACATTTGAGTTTAGATAAGAAAGCGGTTAGTCGACGATGTCTTTTTAAATGTGATTGGTTTTGATACACCTCGGGTACAAATACCAAGAGATGTTAATATTTATAGGCGTTCATCAATTGCATGAATTTGGTAAACAAGTATTATAATATAATACCAGTCACATAAGTAATTAAATTTTCTTTTTGTTACAGATAATATAATATTGCGTATGGACGAAAAAAACAACGATAGTCCAAGAGAGGCGTCATCGCGCGCTATTTGGACGTTTAAAAATGTGTGGAATGAAAGCTTCACTTCCATCAAGAGAGATTTGTTGGAATCTAAATTGACTGATATAATCAAATATTTCTTTAACACGAGAGACCAAAATGTTCCAAATGTCAATAAAAAAGTTAATAACGGGATTCCTAATGAAGAGAATTATAGAAGTAACCTCATAGCAAACGAAGTAACAAATAAAGAAGATTTAAGAAATGATGAAGACGAGGAAATCAGAAAGGACGTATGGAGTGATGTTGATGACGAACTATACATAGCCAATTTAATTAAACTAAGAACTTCAGATGAAGACAAACGTGTGAAACGTGATACAAGTGCTCACATAAGTGTTAGTGATATCAGAGATAAGGTTGTGAATAGTGTTAAGTTAGATTACGAGATGTGGGAGTTAGAAACGTCGGATCTAACGGAGTGTGACTGTCTCGGGCCACCTCCGGAGTTCCTACTGCCTCCGCCTCCGCGACCGCCTTTCCTGCAAGCAGAATACTACTGTGGTGACGATCCCATCCCTGATCTTGAGACATGCGACACAGAACCAGTAAGTATTAACTCTTTACTAAGTTCGCTAAGTTTTTTAGTATTTATTTAAAAACCTAAAGCATATGATGAATGTGATAAAGTCGTGAAATCTCTTAACATTAAGAAAATTATAAAAATATACTCAGTAGATTAGGAATAGGGAAAGTAACCAGAAATAAATACAGAGGTTAACAATGTTTTGAGTTACGAGAGGAAGGCGACCAACTTTGTTAATTGGCATATTAGTTACGTCAATAACAGAAACGGAAAGTAAATGTTTCTTATTTCTGTTTCTAAGCTGTAACTAAATACTATAGATAGATTAATAACTGGCTTTTGAACAATAAAAAAATAGGCCAACGCCACATGATGAATTTTTTATACGTTTCCTTCAATGTTATAAAATGATTCATTAGCTATTTAAGTCCGGAGATGGTAAGTTGCGATAACTTAATATTTCTAACATCGGCTATAGATAAAATGCTTTGTAAGGAATGTGGGGTGCGTTAATCTTTTTTAATACTCAGGTAAGCGGAACGAACGATTCGAAACACAAACAATTTCCTTTGTTTTCGTTAAACATTTAAAAGCCCCTACCACGATCGAAATTCTTATCTTTCAAAAGCATTTCACGTTTTGTTCTAAAAATGGGTAATGAATAAACTACGCATGGCTCTTATCTGTGTAAATATTTGATATGCGGGTCCTTAATGAAGCCGTGGCAGCGACAATGCGCATTATCTCACCATCTCGAAGTTTTTTACGTGTTCAAAGAGATCTCTGGGAGTTTGAGGTTCCATGAAATGATGTTGCTGTATAAATAACGGTTCATAGCAAGATTTTAGTATGTAAGTGTAATACTAACATTGATAGTAGTTATCTTGTCTTTGTAAACAGTTGCCCAACTTTAAGAATGCTGGAATTTTGTAATGCTCATAATATGTATGCTTTTTAGTTTACCTTATATTTAAGATTACACGTATTACGACTTTATTTAAACATCACGATTCTATGCCAGGGGTGGCAAACCACAACAAGATAATATTTTAAGCACGTCGCTGATTAATAACACTAAGAAAAAAGTATGAAGTACGTGCACTATGGAGTTGAAGTAATAATCGCATTCAATATTATTCGATGGCAAGATCGCATCAAACAATTCCTGAAAAATGGCACTTTGAGGCATAAATGTTCGCCACCCCTGATGGAAAACATAAAGCGTACAAGAGAAACTATCTTCATGCCTTATTGTCTGTTTTCACTGCCTAAAGATCTATACAAAAACACTGTCGCCCATCAAATTCTCTGTAAGATGTTTCTACAATTTATTTTTTATTGGCATCTTGCTTCTTACTAACAGATGAATAAATTTTTATTAGAAGGTATCTTCAGAAAGATTTAAAGAATCTGGTTAAAATTTGGCATACATATAGTACATAATCTGGAAGAACACATAGGCTACCTATGATCCCATAAATATGCCCGGTTCCCCTACGGTACATTAGAAACACATATGTACTCCACAACTCTGTAATGGTTTAATATATTTTATTGAAATTTGGCACAGATATGTCGAGACGTGAGATACTCTCTAATTTTTAAATATGGGCAAACGGAGTCGCTGTCAAAAGCTAGTGTTTCATAAACTCTTGCAATTTTGCAATAATCAACATCTCCATATGACTCAGATTTAAATTATTCGCAAAAAATAAAAAAGTTTATAAAAAACGTTCAACGCCAATTAGCATTTCCACGAACTAGGACCAATAACAAATTAATGTCTCAATATAGTCATCTTAAACGCGTTTTTTTAACGATTAATTTAGCCATTGTAGAACATTCTGCGGTCGGCTTGATTGAGACATTTTAAGGCGTCGACATTAACAAGGTAGATGAATTAAAGAACACCCAGTGCTAAGCAGTCCGCAGTGGGTGTTCCACGATGACTCCAATTTCGTTACGCTTCCAAGAAACGATGAGTGGGAAAATATGCGATTTTTTTAAACTTAATATTCATCGGCTTGTGATACTTAAATAATGAAGTGTATATTTTTTTAATATTGTTTTTTTTATTTTATTTTATAAATAAACGTTTAAGTTTAAGGTGACTTTACCCGATGAAGAGTCATAGTCAAGAATCAAAGGGAAGTCAAGTTTTTTGGTATATTTAAAAAATAAGAGTAAATGTAAAGTAAATCCGATATACCGTGTTATAAATTTTAATCTACAAATTAAAAAGAAAAACTGTTTCAGAATAATCTTTTAAATAACAAAATTATCATCATTTTCAGCTTAAAAAGGCAAAAGCGAGGTTATTTAAACATTTCGTTAACATTCCCTTTAAAAGTAACATGAATATTTATTATACGACCTTTAGACTTACCTATTAGTAGAAGGGCCATTGTCGGGGCGTTCTGTTAACTGACAAGCAAATTAAAAGCCCTAATAAGCCCTGAATGTACTTTAAAATGGGCCCCGAAATGTTCCCCTCAAGCTCAGCTAAAACGATCAACTACCCAGTTGAAATTACCAAGATAAAAACCATTACATAACTAATTCGTGCTGAGACATCGTAAAAGACAATGAACCTTGTTTGGTATACTCATATAATTGTTCAGGATGATATAGCAAGAATGGTTGTTTAAAATGTGCATAAATTTAAATCGGGGTACATTCCTTATGTTATGTTTTTTTTCTTTGGACATGAGGAAAAAATTAAACTACATTGAAATATACATTTTAAATTTTATCTGTCGTATACATACTAGATAAATGCGACATATGGCTTTTTTGAGGTTTAGATTTCATAGTGTACTAGCTTTATCTCGGGACTTCGTCCTCGTGAAATTAAAAAAATTATTCAAAACATAGCCTATGCTACTCACAGATAAATTACCTTTCTGATGGTGAAAGAATTTTTAAAATCGTCCCAGTAGTTTTTAGGGTTTTCAGGGTACGGACTACTACCGATCTTGTGGTCGAGGGTTCGAATCCCGCCATTCGACTATTGTCGTGAACCATATCCTACCACAAGTCTAGAGCTTAGTTGGAATAGTTAAAGGAAATATTAGTAAAGATAACAAAAATCTACTAATATTTTTAATAAAAAAATAGGTGTATTGTTTAATTGTATGTATTAACCTTAATTGTGATTGAAAAAAGTCATAGTCCATAATTAAAGACCTACACAGTTCCTTTTAGTGGACTTTTTATTAATTAACGCTGGGTCATTGACAAATCGGCCACCGTCTTAAGATGGACAGTTTGATAAATTTCGGGCACGGTCCATTTTGAATGTTGTCGTTTCGTGTCGTTTTTTTTTACGTTCTGTATTGTTGTAAAGAGATTTTATGATACACGCCGATTAATCGTCCACCGTACGATGACGGATATCGTCTCAGATAATGCCAGTTTATGACAAATTGATATTATAACCTAAATGTTCTATTGTAGAACAGATCGGGTTGATAACGCTATTATGTTAGGAGCAGCTTTGACTAAACAATTGCACTGTGCGATTGTCGATTGTTTCGCAGTTAATTCAACTGTTTAGTTGCATAAAAAATCGAGTAGTGTGCCACCTATATACACATCAAAGGAAGACTAAACAGTTGTTCTATAGTTTAGTCAAAAGTGAACGCGCTTTAACAGAGTTTATGACCGTGTATTCAATATAATCTTACTATCTTACTAATATTATAAATGCGAAAGTTTAGATGGGACGAATGGATGGATGTTTGTTAGAGTTTGTAGCCTAAACGGCTGAACGGATATCCATGAAATTCGGCATAGATCATAGTGTGGAAGAACACATAGGCTACTTTTTATCTCGGGAATAATTACGGTTCCCGTGGGATTCATTAATTTAGTTTTTTGATGTTTACTCGATCATTCTGCAACGGTATAACATATCTTATTAAAACTTGGCACAGATATAAAACCAAATCAAGAGTACACATGGGATAAGGTTCATCCCGGAGAAATGTCGGGTTCCCGTGGGATACATAGCTTTTTGTTATTTATATAGTTCGTATGTTTTCTAATACCACGCGGACGAAGTCGCAGGCAACAGCTAGTTAGTCAATAAAATGAATTTGAAATACTAAGTTTTTTATGGTCAAGTCTAATTAAATTGATATACGGTTACAATAGTTAAAAAGTTCCTGTTTAATTTCTTTAAGGATTTAACTACATTTATCGTTTAAATTAATACGAATTGGAACTTTGATATATTTTATGATAATTAAAATCGAAAAAGCGTTGTCGAATTTTTCGAAAGACACGTTTCCTTTACCTTGCGATATTTGCGATTCCTGTCACGTAAAATAAAAATGTGCAAGAGATGCTCGCATACGCCGTTTGACTCACGAAGCATTTGTGTGACCTCTGATATTTCTTTTGCCCCTATAAGGGCACCTTAGGGACTATAGTCAACTTTACTTATTCATCATAATTTCTTCCCATTGTTCACCTGAATTGCTCTCCACTGGCCAAGTTCATGAATATTTTTGATAGGTACAGACAAAAAAAATGTAATAAATTGATAAATGCTAGTTATTCATGACTAGCTTTAGCTCGCGAAGCTGTGTCTGGTATAAAAAAAATAAGTAGCCTATGTGTTCTTCCAGACTTTTTTTCAAATTTAAATCAGTTATGCAGTTTATGTTACAAACTCTAACAAACATCCATCTAAACTTTCGCATTTATAATATTAGTATGACTAGATGCCTCTATCAGAGTGTAAAGACGAATTAAAAATACAGCTTCTTTAAGATAAAGATTTTGAGAATTTCTTAGCATAACTTGACGAAATACATTTTCTACCCAGACGTTGTATAAAGGATAGGACCAATTAAAGATTAGGTTTTGTTTCAATAGATGTTTCAGTGGTGAAAATGCATGTTTAATAATTCCACAAAGAGAACTTTCGGTGTAGGCACCGACCAGTTTTTTTTTAAGTTTCCACGTGTGTTTTAGTCGTGTTATAAATCATATAGTATAATGTCTCACGAAAGTTTTAATAAGTTAATAACACAAAGAATTCCTCTTTACACATCATTCTTACTAAGCAATACATAAACAAACAGCACGCCCTAATTCGATAAAATCTATCCAATTACTGAATATAATAATTCTGTTCCTCCATCCCCCGACTACCCTCACTAATTGCGTTCGCTGCGTTGCGTATAAATGTTTTTATTATAGAAAAACATTCCACCCTCGCGTCTAGCGCTCTATACATTTTTGTGCTGATATCTTCTTCATAATCAGCACTGCTTGCGTTTTATCTATTCTTTTTATCGTTCAATTATTATGTGTTGACAGCCCTAACATAATCATAATAAACACGTTAGGGTTCAATTTTAATTTGAAATTATTATAATTAAGAAAATTGAATCAAATGGTTTGCTCGAAACTTGTCAATCTAATAATCTATTTTAGCGTCAAAAGTAACAATGATTCTTTAGTAAGTAATATACCCTAAGTTAGTGTCTAGGTCATAATCAACTACGCTGGTTGCTAGTTGGTTGACTTCACACATATCTTTGAATTTCTACTCCCATGTTTGCAGGTTGCATCACGATGTTCCTTCACCGTAAGAACGTCGGGTAAATTATGTACATATGAAATTCGAAAATAGAAATTCACACATTGCGGGATTCGAACCCAAATCCTATAGATTCTTCAAGATTAAATTCCTCAGCCACCAACGCTCTTAGAGGTTTGTTCGTCAAAATCTATTTCTTTTGAATCAATGTCAGCCGCGATTTCTAGTTATCATTTTCATGTCTACGACCAATTTAACTATATGAGGTAGACTAGTTTAAGCGCGACTCCGTCCTCGTGTAATTTAAGCAAAACCAAAAGCGAGTTGCCTGCGTATTCTTTCAAACTACTCTCTACATATGTGCCAAATTTTATCAAAAACAATACAACCGTCATCGGACGACACGACAGACCGCCAGGTACCATCCTCACCATCTCAATGGCTGGCATTCCACAACCGTGCGGTTTTCGCGAAACTTTCTGCCCCGCACAGCTGCGTTGTGGAACGGTCTGTCCTCGGCGGTATTTCCAAACCAATACGACTTAGAGTACTTCAAGAAGCGAGCCTATCATTTCCTCAAAGGCCGGCAACGCATCTGTAGTTCCTTTGGTGTTGCGGATGTCCATGGACGTCGTTGACCACCTTGGTGTTCACGCCGCTCGTTTGCCCCCCTTTTTCATAAAAAAAAACCGTTTAGGCTACAAACACTAACAAACATCCATCTAAACTTTTGCATTTATAATATTGGTATGATAACCATTATTTATTTGTTTTAAAAATTAATGGTTTAATAGATGTTTTGGCATTCGTTAAATCTTTTAAAATCAACAACTCGCCTTCTATTTGCCCATTAAAATAGTACTCGTAGTATTGAACATGTCATGTGACACAAAGGACGTGAGATTCATGCAAAGTCAAAATTAAACCAATATCAAATCGCAGATCAGAAAAACGATCTGCAGATATATGAACTAAGGTAATTTTGTAAGAAAAAAAATATATGAAACATTTACAGAGCCTTATGTAATGGTTATTCGTGCCGTTGTCTCACCTCCTGTTATTAGGGGAGACAAAAAGAATATAATGCAGCCACTTAGGGTTGAGCGGGAGGGGCGAAAAAATAACATGAAATGACCCTTTTTTGTCAGATATTCGAGTATTGCGTGACGACTATTGCACGAAAAATATTAATAAATTAAACACCTACCCTCAGAATTCGTAACAAAAAAATTATCAAGTTATTATAGTATGGCGTGTATAGGGGAATGAACACTTTGTTTTTTATTTGCTAAGAATGTAAGAACACATATTCTCTCTTACGCAGTCAGTCATCACTTTAAAAATCAGAATGAAAAGTAGTGCAAATAAATAACACAGGTACATATTTTCATTATCATACAGTTGTAAAGAAGAGATTCAAAGTCTATAGAGAAGGCATACTCATTTATAATAAAAAAAATTTACATAGTCTCACTTACGCCATCTATTTCTCGATTCTCAAAACCACAAATAAATTAATTGTATTAAAATTAATTGCCAATATGTGTCACTAAATAACATTTAAACGTTCATATTTCATTTTGTAACACTATTTAGTACATTGTGTAACAAAAAATGGACTTTATTATAATGTTCTTGAATATTTACATTTAAAAACCTTTCAGAGAAAGTACTGGTTGAAAAATTCTGTTCATGCCTCGTCTAAAATTTTAAATGTCTTTGAATTTAAGGAAAAAGTCGATAGTGTTCCAGAGTGCAAAGTTTGATAAATCGGCAGAACAATCGTGTAGTGTCAAACGGAATTTTGGAACTGAGCCAAGTATTTCCGAATTGAATTATTCGATACTATTGACACATTTCCTTTGATTAATTTTCTTTAAGCTTTCCTCTTGTGTTTGATACAGGGTCTGTCCCACCAAATTGTAAATTGTCTGATAACAATCGAACGTGTAAAATATGAGATGGAAATACTAGATTTTGTTACCTTATCTGACAATGACGTCATTTTAAAGCTAACTGAGTCTCTAACAGCCAGTGGTGGGACAGGCCGTAATGTAGTGTTTCTAAGCAGATTAAGATAAATGTAATTTTCAATAACGATGACTTATGACGAATTGTTACGAGAGTTTGCATTAATGGTAATAATTTGGATTATGGATTTTTCTATTTGCTATATTTTTAACAAAGTACAAATAATGTCATAATTAAAAAAAATAACATTAATTTTTGTCAAACTACAATCATAAGACAATTGTTTAACTTATCAGATATACGTGTTAACAAAGATCGTTTAAAAAATCTACAAAGATAGTTATTAAATTTCTTTTCGTTAAATACATTTACAAAGGGTAAAGTTTTAATTTTACGAAATTAAAATTACAAAGTCGGGAGCGCACTCGGTCCTAGAAAACCCACTAATAAAGCATTATTAGTGAATTTTCATTTGTTCTCGTCAGCGCATTTTTAGGTCGCACTTGTACCTTGACTATAAAGAAACGGATTAGGCAAGCACCGTTATCAACTTGTCCTTGTTCCTGGAGTATAGGAACAGTACATGCAGCTCTTTCATATATTTCAGTAAGTCGCTTGTCCCGTGAGGGGCGATGTAAACATGGATCACACAAGTGCAAATCATGGTCTTACGGCATAATTACTGTATATTGGCTCAAAATACTGAGCATACAAACTAGAAAATATAGATGGGGGTGTTCGTTTTTTTTGACAGGGGGAAATGCGCGCTTTACTGGTCCTGCCATTCAAAGTCAAAGTACTTGTATTTGGAGCGGCATTTTAGCGCTCCGGGCGCGCGGTACTCGATTGAATCGGGGTCGGAGCTTTTCGTTGGTTACTCCATGCGTTTGATTCGGCCCTCTTCAATTTATACGTTAACCAGTCGAGTATTGTATGCGGTTGAATTTTATGCGTAGAATTTGTTATTTAGTTAGCGAGGACACTTGACCAATTGTAAAGTTTTGTATGTGAACTTTAAAGTTCATATAGAAAGTTTTAAGTTCGAAAGTGCCGTATTATGATAAACTATCTGTTCCCGTGCGGCTTCATCTATATAAAATAAATAAATTCCTTTATTGTTTACATTTTTTAAACTCTCATTTGTAAACAACATGCAAATGCTCAAATGACAATGAAAACCTTGTCCATTGGCTAAGAATTTTTGTAACTATGGTGACCTTGCACCTTTGCTATTGGCTTGTAATTATTATCCCTTTCTTACACAGTATTTTTTTTTAATTCATGAACCCTCAAGCTAAATAACGTTAAAACATTTAACCTAGAGCGTTTAACCTAGAGTGTATGGGTTTTTACTTTAAAAAAAATTCAAAATAATGCTGTGATTGCCGACATTATACAATATATAGTTATACAATTACAATTTATAATATTAGTATAATTTAAATTAGCGTGTTAATATACGATTTTATTACTTATAGAATTTAAGATTGATTGTGGATGGCTACAAAGGTAGAGGAAGACCGAAGAAAGAATGCATAGATAGTGTGAAATATATGCTTAAGAAAGGAATGGATACAGATATGACGGCTGACAGATATGTGCACATACTTTGCCGACCCTCCGTAAGGGATAAGGGCAAGTTGATAATGATTTGAAGAGAATTAATTGACGTGTAATTCTGTTTGTTTGTAATTACAGAAGATAGACGCGTACAACCACAGTGGGCCGTCGTTCCAGACGTCTGCTGTGATCGCTCTCTGCTCTGTGGTGCTGCTTGTTGGTGTGCTGGTTGGCGCTGTTCTTGTCTGGAAGTAAGTACTCTTTTATCTTATTAATGAATCGAATCCTATCGTCCTTGTATTTATGGTCTCAATTCTTTAGCTAGTCAATCATTAGCTTTTGTAAAATATAGTGGTTGTAACAATTAAATTAGAGAATTCGTTTTAAAACAATCCTAACAATTTTCATAACACGGCCAGTCACAATACGAATGTCGATAAATTTATTACACATAAAGGAGGTTTGCTTTTTTTACCAAAAGGTGATTAACTGTATTTTTTGTCTAATTGTAGTTGTTATTTCTAAATTTTATTACAATATACGTCAGAGCCACGTCATAAACATCACAACGAAAATCTAATCCGTGACGTCGTAATATTAATTCTCTTGCAACAGCCAAAACATTAATTCAATTAAATGGAATCCATAATAAATCATTCAGATAACGGTTGAGAGGGAAATTTTCACAAATTAGCGGCCGACGTCGAACGTAGGAACGTCGTCGCACTGCCCCTGACAGTTTAATTGGCGTTAAAAGACAAATAGAGGACATTTACACTTGTCTGTTTGTTAGTTTGATTTACCGAATTGATTGTTTTCAATTCACTTCTTTTGTATGCTAAACTATTGTAAATTCCTTTATATTGTAATATATTTGTGGTGTATTTAGTGTAATTCTTTCTTTTAGAACAACCTTTGACTTAGAATTACTACCAACTAGCTGTTGATCGCGACATCACCAGCGTAAAATATTGAAAATATGGCCTATGTTTCTCACAGATAAAATATCTTTAATGGTGAAAGAATCTTTGAAATCGGTCTGGTAGTTTTTAAGTGAATCGTATACTCGTACATACAATCCAAAAATACAAATATTAGTATGGATGATAGCTTATCGTAGTTTTTCTTGTCGACTTGATGAGATATCATTAAGGTTTTTACTGACACCAAAAACTCTCCTTACAAAATTGTATTATACAAATACGAGCTGTTGCCCGCGACTTCGTCCGCGTGGTATTAGAAAACATACGAACTATATGCATTACAAAAAGCTACGTATCCTTCGGGAACCGGACATTTCTCGCTGATGAAGCTTATCCCATGTGTACTCCAGACTTTGTTTTATATCTGTGCCAAATTTCAATAAAATATGTTGAACCGTTGCAGAATGATCGAGTAAACATTAAGAAAGTAAATTAATGAATCCCACGGGAACTATAACTATTCCCGGGATAAAAGTAGCCTATGTGTTCTTCCAGACTATGCTCTAAACCTGTGCCAAATTTCATGGAGATTCGTTATGCCGTTTAGGCTACAAAGGCTAACAAACATCCATCCATCCATCCATCCATCCAAACTTTCGCATTTATAATATTAGTAAGATCAGTGGTTTTAATGTCATTTTAAACTTCTGTGACAAAATGTTCTATTCAAATAAAACACATAGTAGAAGTAACAATAGATTCATTTTGTATGCTAACGTAAATAAATTTGCACTCATTACACGTTGAACGTCACCAATTATGAAGTTAACAAATTTCTGAATAAACAGGGTATTCACGTGTTCACGTACGGTGATTTCAAGAATTAGTTGTGAACGTGGAAGCGTCGACAGGGTGCCACTGACAGTTTAATCGCTGTTAAAACCGTCGTCACACGTCGCCCTCGGAGGCAATGGCTTGAGAAAGTTGATTAGAGTGGCTGTCACCTAGTCGGGATTTAATCCCGGTCTTAAACACTGTATTCAAGTTGGAAGATGTAGCGTCGTTCATGTGGAAAACATTTGAAACCTTTTTTTACTTCCTTATAAATAATCAATCACGTAATACTTCGGACAAATAAATTTTGACTGTTGATATTTTCTTTTCTGATAGTAACTGATTTTAATTTTTCTCTTTAGAGTATTTACGTAATCAACATTATTGATATAATATGAACAATAAATTTAATTAAAGTTCTTTGGACCTGTCCTACAATGCTTGTAAATTATCAGATATCGGATTTTGGTACTTTATCTCACAGTGACGTCACTTTTAAGCTATCTGAGTCTCTAACAGCCAGTGGTGCGACAGGCCCTTATAGTTTTCGAACTGCTTTGAATATTGCATCACAAATTTAGGACGTCTCTGCTTTTTTGCGTTTTAATTCTAGATCTTTCCATTGTTGTGCTCTTCTTTACTTTATTTTGTGCTGAAGTTCAAATAATTAATTCGTTTGGAATCCTCCATTGATTATTTCTCCGTATTTTTATATAAATCTGCTAACGCTATCTCCTTTAATCTACACCCAATGCATTGCTTTAATTATACCCGTCACAATATTCTCGCCGCCGCGTTACGGCCAGTTTGAGGAGGTCGGATTTAGGTAAAGTATATGTTACACATGTGATAAGCGTCCCATAGTTACTAATGCTGCTTTAATTAAGCATTCAAACCGGAGATAAGATAATCAGCCGGTTGGAAAGTTTATAAATTGGACAATTATTTGTGTATCAACACATCGGAATAGTTCCCGTTTTGGTTCGATCTCACCGACTCGGTTTTTGTTTGTGTTTATTTTCGGTGTTCAGATAACATCGCTGAGTTATTCTTGAGGGGAATCGGTTACATAAATCCTTAGACAATTTTATTGGGTGTATCTTTTTTATAATTAATGAGGTTTTAACAGAAAATTACTTAAGTAGCATTTAGTTTCTTTGTATACTAAGATTACTTTCATACCTTATGATAGACAGACAGACAAGATATTTACTTATACGTCGTGAGCTTCAAAGTTTTTTGGTATAATTCCAAGTGCGTCAATTTTATTCAACTGTTAAATATTCTTTATTCTCTAATAAATATTAGCGTCAATTCATCTACATCTTGTCTTTCACGTATTTCTGACTGTACCAGAAATTTAAAAACATTTCCGGGGTCTGTGATACTATTTCTTACGGGAGATAAAAAATTTTAAAATACAAAGGTTTCTTGTCTACAGTTTTAATCTCTGAGTTGGTCTAATACTATTTAACATATGTTCATAATATACCAGATATCTATTGAGTAACATTAAAGTTTCCATAAATATTTACACCATTAGTTGGAATTATCATAAAATTATTCATATCTGTGTTCCAGAAACAGAACACGAATCGTAATTTTAGAACAATATGGCGGCATACCGTTAGCGTTTATTATTCATAAATCATATGACTGTCAATACGTAAACAAAAGCTAATTCGGGGAGCACGATGTTTCGTAGTTTCCCGACAAATCCGACGACTAAAGATAACACACTAGTTGTTCCCGTGTGGCTTCATCCGCATGAAATTATAGTCACTTAATTTTATTGTTTATATTTGTCAAATGTTTCTTCCTTGATGTTGGCAGCTTGTGTTATAGTTGATGGTCCCTTTTCCATTAGGGTTTTTATCCAAAACATTTACCCCCTAAGTTTAATGGCATAAAAATATATAGCGTAAAGCGTGACGTAAGTGTAGGGCTTTTTATTAAAAAATAGTATTATTCAAAAACATGCTATAACTGATATCTTAGGCAATAAAGAACTGTGTGTTTACGCTTTATTATAATAGTATAGATGTACACCTCGGCGTGGGGTGGCGTCTGTTAGCCATTATACCGCTAATATTAAGTCTATAGTTTTAGTAGTTCCATCACATTGTTTCACTTTTGAATCATTTTTCAAGACCTCATGTGATTATAGCGATTCTTTTCTAATGTTAAGTATCTAAATTTTGTATTATTCGAAAGTCAGTGATAGAAAAAATTACGGTTAACATCACACTTATATCAATACTGTCTGAGGCTACCGACGCGGCTGTGCGGTTACATCAACTCGTTTCCTAATCATTAAGAGCACTAAGGAATTGACATCTCTTTTCAAAGATAAAAACCCCCCTCCTCCTAATAAAGATTAATAAAATAAATTCACATTAGTTTATTGTCAAAATATGTATATTTGTTGCATAATTCAGAACACACTAGAGATATTATTGAATATTTATGTACAAAATCACTTCCGATTGTTGAGCGTAAATTGTAATATACAAGCCACAACATATACATTCATTTCAATTGCTAATGAGACATCGTATGGAAATTATTAAACAACATTCATTTAGAGTTCCCAAGCTATGTTCGCTGATTAAAAACTGAATTTCATTAAAACATCTACTTGTAACATTTTTGTTATTTCCATGCGTGACTAATTATGCCAAATTTATACGTTGAACGTTCACCATTGGCCAAGTGTATATCCGTCAACCAATGAACGTCGAGGGCGGGCACTCATGCGCATATTCTAGTATTATTTTGCATTTATGATCTACAGGGTGTTAATATTTTGGTATTCAGCTACGTGAAAAGATCGCGTCATTAAGATAGTATCATTAATTTAAACTATCTTACTAATATTTTAAATGCGAAAGTTTAGATGGATTGATGGATGTTTGTTAAAGTTTGTAGCCTAAACCGCTTGACGGATCTGGATGAAATTTGGCGTACATGTAGAGAAAAGTCTGGAAGAACACATAGGCTACTTACTTTTGTTTTTATATACCACTCGAACAGAGTCGCGGGCGAAAGCTAGTGTCATTTTGCATTTATGATCCACCATTTATTGTTATAAAGATCTGTGGTTATGATTCTTTTAGTAGCCAGTCTTAACCGCTTTTAAAGGTGACCCAATGTTTAAATCGGTTTTACAGAGGTGAAAATACCTTTGACTGTAGCATAGCTCTTTACTTAGTAGAATGTTTAAAAGAAAGTTTTTTTTTTGTTGTAGCATTGATTTCTATAGATATTTCGTAGAAATATTAATATTGCAGGATAAAAATCAATCTAAACAACACTTCCAACGAAGTGCAGTAAATAAAATTAAATTAGCGGTATTTTACCAAAATATGGCAACTCTAACCATCCATATCAATTAAAAAATTAACGCCCGTCCAGTTTTCGTGAGTAACTGTCGAATAACCCTCAGAAGGGAATTTCACCCTCGAAAAACTTCGCGTAAACTCGTCGAGAGGTTC